AAGTGGCCAACTGGTGGTCTGAGAGTCAGGTTGCAACGGCTCTTCCTTAACCCAACCTCCGGCACTCTTACACATACGAGCTCTGAGCCACTCAACCCCTTTTGTGTGTCATCCTGGTGCTTGCATTTAGGGGATTAGGTCGTGTAGGGGGCGCCCATATACCGCACCAATTAACTGACCGGCAGTGGCTGGGGAATAGGAATAGAGAGAGAGCGAGGTCGACGGCCCAGCGCATTTTCCTCACTACAAACAATGCAATGCGCCTGAGGCTATAACGGTGCACTAAAAGCCGTGACCTTAAAGATTGGCAACTAGGGGGATAACCCGAACTGCACAGTCAGCCCAGTATTTATTGGCGGACTGAGTTTATGGCTGCGATGCCTACTTAATTTGACTTATGGTCTTCCCACTCACTTGGGATTCGAACCAAGGTGCGCTTAGGGACCGTTTCTAGGCGCGCTAAACACCTGCACCCTCTACCGTCTCCGGTTTCCTTCACGTACTTATGATACTGGGCCCAGCTGGGAAAGAGAGAGATGCAGTGTAAGTGTACTATCACTTTAAAATAACTCACCTGCTAGCCACAGTCTCTGTGCTCGCCGTGCTGTGGGACACAGGGTGGAGGTCGTCGGCCACGACGGTCGAACTCGTGTGTGGGGGGATTAATTGACTGGTGCACCGAGATCCAAACTCTGAACCTTTTCTGATATGACCTATATGACTCTTTCAAGTTCCTGAGATCGGAGCTGATACCTCATTTGTGAAAACTGGGTAAACAGTGCAGGTGGACCATGTAGCGTAGACGAGCGAATGTAACTCTCGCTGCCACTGCTCCGAATCGCACAATAGACGACTGACCGGTTCGGACGGTGGACTTGTCGAAAGTTGCTGGTGTCGACAACAGAAGGTACCCCAAATCACAAGTCAGGGAAAACGGAATAAACTGGAACAGCTCTACTGCGGGAAAATGGCCTGTAAAAAGGCTGCGTCATGCGCCAGTTGCCAACTATGTCTGCACGTCAGGTGGGTCCGTGAAGTTGTGTTTATTGTGAGACCTTGACTG